GCTCTAGCTTGCAAGGACATAAGAGAAGCCTCCCAGAAGGATGGTAACACATCCGGGCATCCCCTGGGCAACGTCTCTATGGACAGCCAATTCTCTCACACCAGAAGTGACTTACAGTATGTTCTTAAGTCACTAATGACACAATAAAAAAATCCTTGAATTATTACACTATGTAACATAATTTTTGTTACATAGTGTAATATGTTCCAGATGTCATTTCCTAATGGCTTCTATCCTAAAAACATGGGGAAAGTTAATTAAGCTGCAAAAACTGCAGTTTTGGGGTATATCCTGCAGCACATTTTACTCCAGTTTTGAGGGACATTTTACTCTAGTTTTTCAATGAGTATCTGGTCGAGCAGGCATGGGCAAACTTCAAAGCCCTCCAGGTGTTTTGGACTTCAACTCCCACAATTCCTAACAGCCTACCGGCTGTTAGGAATTGTGGGAGTTGAAGTCCAAAACACCTGGAGGGCTTTGAAGTTTGCCCATACCTGTCGCAGAGTCTCAAACAATTCAAACTAGTTTGTGGCAGTACGACAACTACTTGCAAAATAAGGACTGCACAATTAAATAGAAAATAACACTTTCAAACCTGGAACAGAATTTATTTTTTGAATTTTGCAATATAGTTTTATGTGTCTTCTTTTCCCCTGTACTCTTTGTGGTTCCTTTAAAAACTCTCTCTCTTCACTTTTCCCTAGAAGGAAGCTTGTTTGGGAATGGAGTTGCTCACAGGTGCAATGAGCTTAGATCCTAAGGGCTTTTTTATTTCCCCTGCCCTTCAAGCCAGACTTATCTATTCCATCTGCAATACCTGGAGGGGGAATCCATTCCATGCAAATAAGTATGTATTGTTACAGGTGTATCCCTGTCGCATTCCACAGAATTAGGTCAGAGTAGGTCTTCAGTGGTCAAGTGCCACGAGCTTACAAAAGCCCTGCTCCTCATGAAGGTAAACAGCTAGAAATGCTTTTCGTATAGGGTCAAATACAGTTGCCTATTGATTGACAGCATCTTGAAATACCGAAGGAGAATATTTGGGAAAGGAGGGCTGCTTAGAGCAGTGGTTCTCACCCTTCCTAATGCCGCAACCCCTTAATACACTTCCTCATGCTGTGGTGACCCCCAACCATAACATTATTTTCGTTGCTACTTCAGAACTGTAATTTTGCTCCTGTTATGTATCGTAATGTAAATATCTGATACACAGGATGTATCTTCATTTACTGGACCACATTTGGCACAAATAACCAATACAACCAAATGTGAACACTGGTGGGGTTGGGGAGGGGGATTGATTTTGTCATTTGGAAGTAGTAGTTTCTGGGATTTATAGTTCACATACAATAAAAAAACATTCTAATCTTCACCAACGATGGAACTGAACCAAACTTGGCACACAGAACTCCCATGTCTAACAGAAAACACTAAAAGGGTTTGGTGGGCATTGACCTTGAGTTTGGGAGTTGTAGTTCACCTACATCCAGAGAGCATTGCGGACCCAAACAAGGATGGATCTGGACCAAACTTGACACGAATATTCCATATGTTCAAATGTGAACACTGGTGGAGTTTGGGGAAAACAGACCTTGACATTTGGGAGTTGAAGTTACTAGGATTTATAATTCACCTACAATCAAAGAGCATTCTGAACTCCACCAATGATGGAATTGAACCAAACTTGGCAATACAGAACTTCCATGACCAACAGCAAATACTGGAAGTTTTGGAGTTGTAGTTCACCTACATACAGAGAGAACTGTGGACTCAAACAATGATGGATTTGATATGGACCTAAAATGGTACAAATACTCAATATGCTCAAATGTGAACCCTGGTTGAGTTTGGGGGAAACAGACTTTGATATCTTGGAGTTGTAGTTGCTGGGATTTATAGGTCATCTATAATCAAAGAGCATTCTGAACTCCACCAATGATGGAATTGAACCAAACTTGGTACACAGAACTCCCATAACCAACAGAAAATAGTGGAAGAGTTTGGTGTGCATTGGCCTTGAGTTTTAGAGTTATAGTTCACCTGCACCCAGAGAGCAGTGTGGATAGATACATCTGGACCAAACTTGGAACAGATGCTCAATATGGGGGAAATAGACTTTGATGTCTTGGAGTTGTAGTTGCTGGGATTTATAGTTCACCTACAATCAAACAGCATTCTGAACTCCACAAAAATGGAATTGAACCAAACTTGGCACACAGAACTTCCTCGAACAAGAGAAAATACTGGAAGGGTTTGGTGAGCAATGACCTTGAGTTTTGGAGTTGTAGTGCACCTACATCCAGAGAGCACTGTGGACTCAAACAATGATGGATCTGGACCAAACTTGGCACGAATCCTCAATAGGCCCAAATGTGAACACTGGTGGAGTTTGGGGAAGCAAACATTGATATTTGGGAGTTGTAGTTGCTGGGATTTATAGAGCTCCCAAGGCCAACAGAAAATACTGGAAGGGTTTGGTGGGCATTGACCTTGATTTCTGGAGTTGTAGTTCACTTACATCCCCAGGTTGAGAAACGGTGGGTTAGAGCTTTGCTGAGAATTTTCTTTCCCTTTCCAGCCCAAGAGCCCTGTCTTTCTTTCTGATCCCTTCTTTCTATCTGACAAGTCCAGCCCAGCAAAACAAATTGCATTTCATGCCCATCACCCCTCTGATCATCTCAAGGAAAAATCAAATAAAAGGAGGAGGAAGGGGAGAAAATGGGGCAGGGGGAGGAGAGGATTTAAACAATCCGTTGAGTCCCTGACACTCATACCCTTTTGCATATCCTTCCCAGGCACAAAAGGACCGCACAAAGGCTGTGTCTACACTGGAGGATGAATGCAGTGCTGACTCCACTTTCATGGCTCAATGTGATGGGATCATGGGAATTGTAGTTTGGAGAGGAACCAGGGCAGAGAAGGCAAAAGCCATTGGATGATTGCAGCTCCCATTATGCCATCACCATCTGCATCCAATCCACGGTGTAGACGTGCCCAGAGACTAAGCAAACCTATTCAGAAGTGGGCTGCCATTGCTACTGCCTTCCTCTGAGGCTGAGAGAGTGTGACTTCCCTATTGATAGAACTCCTATTAGCTGCTTGAGGCGCTTTATTTTTAATGCCTGCCTTCCTTTTATGCACTCTGTCCCAACTCCAGGGAAGGAGGGAAGTCAAGTGTGCCTCTGAGCATGCACAGAGTGCTTTAAAGCAAAACAGGAGTCCTATTGGCAGCTTGAGGCACTTCATTTTGACAGACTGACTTCCTTCTATGCATTCGGTCCCAACTGCAGGGAAGGCGGGAAGTCAAGTGTGCCTCTGAGCATGTACAGAGTGCTTTGAAGCAGAATTGGCCTCTGAGCATGCACAGAGTGCATTTCTGCAAAATGGTGTCCCTTATTGGCAGCTTGAGGCGCTTTATTTTTAACTATTGCCTTCCTACTATGCATGCTGTCCCATTTGGAGGGAGTACCAGGAGTCAAGCGTACCTCTGACCATGCACAGAGTGCATTTCTGCAAAATAGGGGCTCCTATTGGCAGCTTGAAGTGCTTTATTTTTAACGAGTGCCTTCCTTCTATGCACTTTGTCCCATTTGCAGGGAGTACCAGGAGTCAAGTGTACCTCTGAGCATGCACAGAGAGCATTTCTGCAAAATGGGGCTCCTATTTGCAGCTTGAGGAGCTTCATTTTTAACTACTGCCTTCCTTCTATGCATTCTGTACCACATTTGCAGGGACTACCAGGAGTCAAGTGTACCTCTAAGCATGAACAGAGAGCACTTCTGCAAAAATAGGTCTCCTATTGGCAGCTTGAAGAGCTTAAGTATTAATGACTGCCTTCCTTCTATGTATTCTGTCCCAATTGCAGGGAAGGCGGGAAGTCGAGAGTGCCTCCGAGCATGCACAGAGTGTGTTCTACGAAGAGTCAAGCATGCCTCTGAGCATGCACAGAGTGCTTTTAGAAAAATAAGCCTCTGAACATACACAGAGTGCTTTGAAGCAAAATGAGGCTCCTATTTGCAGCTTGAGGAGCTTCATTTTTAATGACTGCCTTCTTTCTATGCACTCTGTCCCAACGGCAGGCAGTACCAGGAGTCAAGTTTACCTCTGAGCATGCACAGAGAGCATTTCTGCAAAAGAGGGGCTCCTATTTGCAGCTTGAGGAGCTTCATTTTTAACTACTGCCTTCCTTCTATGCATTCTGTCCCAAATGCAGGGAAGGGGGGAAGTCAAGCGTGCCTCTGAGCATGCACAGAGTGCATTTCTGCAAAAGAGGGGCTCCTATTAGCAGCTTGAGGCTCTTCATTTTGACAGACCACCTTCCTTCTCTGTATTCTGTCCCAAATGCAGGGAAGGGGGGAAGTCAAGCGTGCCTCTGAGCATGCACAGAGTGCATTTCTGCAAAAGAGGGGCTCCTATTAGCAGCTTGAGGCTCTTCATTTTGACAGACCACCTTCCTTCTCTGTATTCTGTCCCAAATGCAGGGAAGGGGGGAAGTCAAGCGTGCCTCTGAGCATGCACAGAGTGCATTTCTGCAAAAGAGGGGCTCCTATTAGCAGCTTGAGGCTCTTCATTTTGACAGACCACCTTCCTTCTCTGTATTCTGTCCCAAATGCAGGGAAGGGGGGAAGTCAAGCGTGCCTCTGAGCATGCACAGAGTGCATTTCTGCAAAAGAGGGGCTCCTATTTGCATCTTGAGGCTCTTCATTTTGACAGACCGCCTTCCTTCTATGATTCTGTCCCAAATGCAGGGAAGGCGAGATGTCATGCCTACTCCAGAGTGCTTTGAAGCCAAATAAGCCTCTGAGCATGCACAGAGTGCCTTTCTGCAAAAGAGGGGCTCCTATTTGCAGCTCGAGGAGCTTCATTTTTAACGACTGCCTTCCTTCTCTGCATTCTGCCCCAATTCCAGGGAAGGCGGGGAGTCAAGCGTGCCTCTGAGCGTGCACAGAGTGCCTTTCTGCAAAAGAGGGGCTCCCTATTTGCATCTGGCCCGGGCTTACCATCTCCTTGTGGCGGGAGACCCAGGTGTCGAGGAGCAGCTGGAGGCGGCTCCGGTGGAACTTGGCGGTGGTCTTGACGGCCACGAAGACGTCCCGGGGCGAGAGGGGCTCCACGGGCGGGCGGGGCGCCTCGGCCTGGGGCTCCTTCCCCTCCTGGCCCGGCCCCCCGGCCCTCTTGCTCCGGCTCAGCTGCGAGAAGTACGCCGAGAAGCTCCGGGCAGCGGCGGCGGGCAGGCTGTGCTGGGGCTCCGGAGGCGGCACCGCCTGCTGCTGCTGCTGCTGCTGCTGCTCGGCCACCAGGACCAGGAAGCAGGTCAGCATCGAGCCCGCCAGAGACACCAGCAGCCTCTTCCCGCAGCTTTGCAGCATCCCCGTCCCTTTCCCGTCCCTTCCACACACAACTGAGTCCCAACAGGCTTCCGTCTCCGACCAGAGCCGCTCTCCGTTTGCCGCCTCCACAGATAAGCAGTGCAAACTGAGTTTGAAAAGGGGCGTGGCTCTCCTAAGCCACGCCCACAAAGGAGGACAAAGGGGTGGAGTCAGAACGCCGTGCCTGCCAAGGGGGCGTGGCTTATCTAAGCCCCGCCAATAAAGGAGGGTAAGAGGCGGGATTAGAACGCCGCACAGGCAAAGAGGGGCGTGCCTTTTCCAGGCCCCGCCCATAAAGGTAGATTAAGGGATAATTAGGAGGAAGGGCTTTTAGAACAGGCTGGAATGGGTTTTTTGGTGGTTTTATTATTATTATTATTATTATTCCTTTGCATTACATTCTTGCACTATGTAAGTATTCCAGACAAGAATCACTCAGGGCCAGCTAACACCTCCCAACAATGGCTCCCAAAATGCAATCAGCCAAGTTTTGAAACTGCAAGGCCATTAAATGCTAATCAAGGTGGCCAATTACAACATTCACACTTGCCTCCAACAGACAAGAGTTCTTTCTCCCACTGCTCATTGGAGGGAAGGATATTAAAGGCAAAGAAAAAGGAAGAGGGGCCGACCAAGGGCAAGATGGATGGGTGCTATCCTTGAAGTGACTGACTTGAAGGAGCTAGGGGTGGCGACGGCCGACAGGGAGCTCTGGTGTGGGGTGGTCCATGAGGTCATGAAGAGTCAGAAGAGACACCTCTCAACAAAAGTTTGCTCTAGGCACTGTCGGGCCTTTATATGCTAATCAAGGTGGTCAGTTGAAACATTCACACCTAGCTCCAGCAGACAAGAGTCCTTTGTCTCACCCTGGGTATTCCACAGATATATAAACCCCTTTTTCCTAGTTCCAACAGACCTCACTACCTCTGAGGATGCTTGCCATAGATGCAGGCGAAACGTCAGGAGAGAATGCCTCTAGAACATGGCCATATAGCCCGAAAAAAACCTACAACAACCCAGTAATTCCGGCCATGAAAGCCTTCAACAATGTATAATAAACACCTCACAACCTCTGAGGATGCCTGCCATAGATGTGGGCAAAACGTCAGGAGAGAATGCTTCTGAAACATGGCCAGACAGCCCGGAAAACTCACAGCAACCCAGTGATTCCAGTCATGAAAGACTTGACAACACATTTCCTAGACCAGTCACAAGGATGTTGTTTGCCAATCAGGAATCTGATCAGAGAGTGAATATGATGACGTCGTAATACTAGATAGCCAATCCGATTTGGTGAATATCACCAAAGGTAAACAAAGTTAATTCAAACTCTTCCAAAGCAATTAATGGAATTATAATGGAGGTGGTTGTGGGGCAAGGACGCCGTTAATGAAAAAATGCTGAGTACTTTTTGGCTACACGTTCGCTTGAGATTCAGAGATAACACTCCAACACCCCGAACGCTTTGCCAAAATCCTTAGCTTCAAAGCACACAACAAAAGCCGTTTTCCTTGTTTGGCTGCCTGGGATCAAGATGTCATTAAGACAGGAAAAGCAACTTTTAGTAGGTCCAGAGGCTAGTTTTCTGTCTCTAGGTTGAATTCTATGGGAGGAACTGGAAAACGACCTCTGAGCAATCCTTGAGTACAACTACACTGTAGAACGAATGGAGTTTGACACCACTTTAAGTGCCCCGGATCGGTGCTATGGAAACTTGGGAGTTATAGTTTCACAAGGAGTTTGGAATGGCTGAAGTCTACAAAAACATAGAATCATAGAATCCTAGAGTTGGAAGAGACCTCATGGGCCATCCAGTCCAACCCCATTCTACCAAGAAGCAGGAATATTGCATTCAAATCACCCCTGACAGATGGCCATCCAGCCTCTGTTTAAAAGCTTCCAAAGAAGAAGCCTCCACCACACTCTAGGGCAGAGAGTTCCACTGCTGAACGGCTCTCACAGTCAGGAAGTTCTTCCTCATGTTCAAATGGAATCTCCTCTCTTGTAGTTTGAAGCCGTTGTTCCATTGCGTCCTAGTCTCCAGGGAAGCAGAAAATAAACTTGCTCCCTCCTCCATGCTTCATTCTGCCCTGTCCTGCTTTAAGACATGTAAGAAAGGACACAGTACCCTGAAAGATATATATATATAGACCATGCTGTTGCACAGTTGGTTAGTAGCCAGCTGCATTAAATCCCTACTGATTGAGATGAATTCATGAGGTCATGAGTTTGAAGCCAGCCCAGGTTGGAGTGAGCTCCCGACCATTAATAGTCTAGCTTGCTGTCGACCTATGCAGCCCGAAAGATAGTTGCATCTGTCAAGTAGGAAATTTAGGTACCGCTTTATGCGGGGAGGCTAATTTAACTAATTTATGACAGCATAAAACCTTCCAGCAGTGTGCATAAGAATGAGGAAGTACTCCATCAAGGACTCGGCGTCACAAGCGGTCGGTGAAGCGGCAGCTCCCCCTGTGGCCGGAATCGAGCATACCCTCATGAAGCCAGAAAGCTGGGATGTTAGATTGCCTCTGTGTCTGTCTGTATATGTTGTCTGTCTTATGGCATTGAATGTTTGCCATGTATATGTGCATTGTAATCCGCCCTACGGGGTATAAATACTGTAAATAATAATAATAATAATAATAATAATAATAATAATAATAGAGCCATACAACTTTTTGCAATTTAGTTTATTCAACTTTAAAAACTTTTGCAGAATATAAATACTGTAAATTAAATAAATAAATAAATAAATAATAGAGCCATTCAAATTTTTGCAATTTAGTTTATTCAACTTTAAAAATGATTACGGAATATAAATACTGTAAATAACAACAACAACAACAACAACAACAACAACAACAACAATAATAGAGCCATACACGTTTTTGCAATTTAGGTTATTCAACTTTAAAAACTATTACGGAATATAAATACTGTAAATAATAAAACAATAATAAATAATAATAGAGCTATACAACGTTTTGCAATTTAGTTTATTCAACTTTAAAAACTATTGTGGATTATAAATACTGTAAATAATAACATAATAAATAATAATAATAGAGCCATACAACTTTTTGCAATTTATTCAACTTTAAAAACTACCATTTGTATTCACAGCAAATTGCATAACTACTGTCTTTCTTTATGATACTCCTTATAATTGTTTTGTTTGTTTTATAATCATGCCCAAAAAGGTCCTGCACGTCAATGGTGCAAATCGATCCAATATTCAGTCCCAAAATTTAGGATATAAACAAGCTTCATATTTCCCAAAAAGGTATCATTTGCACTACCTCCCTTTGCGACTCGAGCTAGTCTAGTTTTCGGGTGGAGCTTTTCCACCCAAGCCATAGAGCAGCATTTCTCAACCTGGGGGTCAGGACCCCTGGGGGGGTCATGAGGGGGTGTCAGAGGGGTTGCCAAAGACCATCAGAAAACACAGTATTTTCTGTTGATCATGGACATTCTGTGTGGGAAGCTTGGCCTAATTCTATCATTGGTGAGGTTCAGACCATTCTTTGATTGTAGGTCAGTGTTGCTCAACCCAGGGGTCGGGACCTCTGGGGGGGTCATGAGGGGGTGTCAGAGGGGTTGCCAAAGACCATCAGAAAACATAGTATTTTCTGTTGGTCATGGGGGTTCTGTGTGGGAAGTTTGGCACAATTCTATCATTGTTGGGGTTCAGAACACTCCTTGATTGTAGGTGAACTATAAATCCCAGCAAGTACAACTCCCAAATGTCAAAGTCTATTTTCCCCAAACTCCACCAGTGTTCACATTTGGGCATATTGATTATCCGTGCCAAGTTTGGTCCAGATCCATCATTGTTTGAGCCCATAGTGCTCTCTGGACATAGATAAACTACAACTCCCAAACTCAAGGTCAATGCCCACCAAAGCCTTCCAGTATTTTCTGTTGGTCATGGGAGTTCTGTGTGCCAAGTTTGGTTCAATTCCATTGTTGGTGGAGTTCAGAATGCTCTTTGTTTGCAGGTTAACTGTAAATCCCAGCAACTACAACTCCCAAATGACAAAATCAATCCCCCCACCAACCCCACCAGTATTCAAATTTGAGCACACCGGGTATTTGTGCCAAATTTGCTCCAGTTAATGAAAATACATCCTGCAGATCGTTATTTACATGGCGATTCATAATGTTAGGGTTATGGTTGGGGGTCACCACAATATAAGGAACTGTATTAAGGGGTTGTGGCATTAGAAAGGTTGAGAACCACTGTTGTAGGTGAACTATAAATCCCAGCAACTACAACTCCCTGAAACTGGGCTTTTTAAATTTACTGATACTGATCTGGCTGTTGTTTGGACCATGGGGTGGAATAAAGCTTCCAAAGAAGGAGCCTCCACCACACTCTGGGGCAGAGAGTTCCACTGCTGAACGGCTCTCACAGTCAGGAAGTTCTTCCTCATGTTCACGTGGAATCTCCTCTCTTGTAGTTTGAAGCCATTGTTCCATTGCGTCCTAGTCTCCTGGAAGTTTAACTTCCAGGGTGTTGCTGGGTGTGTAGCAACCCTGGAGAAATGCAAAGGAATACTATCCAATGCAGCTAAAAGGCAATGTAAACCATTCTCCTGGAAGACGGAACAGGAATATATGGCAGTGTGGACTCAGGTAATCCATTTCAAAGCAGATATTGTGGGATTATTTTTTTTGCCTGGCTTATATGGCTTTGTGGAAGGGTCCTAAGTGTCTCTGTGTCGGCAAAAACGTCACATTGAAGACCACCTGCTTCCCACATTCCTTGAAGTTGATTATTATTTCGGTTGATTGTTTATCTGCTCCATTCTCTTTGTAGGAAGCCTTCGCAGCACATTATGAGACAAAGAAAGAAGCCTTCCCCATACTACGTGGCACCAGCCCTTAACTTCAAAAGACCCCCCCCCCTCCCAAGATTAAAAAAGAACAGGTGGATGCTAAGCCTTATTGTTAGGACTGGGGAAGGGAAGCCAAAGGCAACCGGGAATCGGGAATTGCAAACACATGAGCAAGGCATTGTCTTCTTGAAATGGGAGGAAGGAAGTGAGGCTTTGTTCTTTGTT